ATGGGCTATGAACTGTTTTAAAACAAGAATCACAAAACATGACAAAGACATGACAACAAAACCAAGCTGATCAGATTTGAAGACATTAATCCATGTCTGTTTGTGTTACAACAGAACTATGTGTATAAAAAGGAGGTTCGAGCTACTACACAAATGCATCTCTTTCGGATATTTTTGTTGGCGTTGTCTGGGAGAGCTTTGAGATCTTGGAGCTGCCGGATCGTCCCGAGCCGTAATACGTTCCATACTGCCCGGAGCGTCCGTAGTATCCGGTGTACAGGGTTCTTCCTCTGGAGAAAGGGGCCATGTACGTGCGTCCTCCATAGACTTGTACCACTGGGCTGTAAAACATTAACAAATGAATAATGTGGCATGATCTCAGTTGGTGCAGAAATAAAGGGGGAGATGAATGATTTAGATACCTTTCAGGGCAGATTACTCTGAGGACTGTAGCAGCATAAAACACAGCTCCCAACAGGATGAAAAAGCATCCCACCAATCCTAGAAATATGGGAGGTCCCAAGTCATACCTGGAACATGTTAAAGTGTCAGAAAAAGTTCATGATGGCGTTTAAATACAGTCAACAGATGCTATTTTGTTCTATAGTTTACTGAGAAATTTATGGAAGACTTTGCTATAGATCAGGGCAGAAAAATATTGTACCGTAAGACTCCTGCTGGTACACTGGGAGCAAAGGATGTTCTGGCGATCCTGTTGATGTATAAGCAGTAGGCAGCAATATCCGACACGCCTGCGTGCAGAGGTTTCGTTGAAACCAAGAAATAAATGAGGGCAAAACACTTCTGTCGTTTGCAGAGACAAACGTGCTTTCTGTTCTGTACTTACCACCAGCAAAATGAAACACTGCCCCGCTAAGGAGCATTTTGTCCTTGGTTTTATCAGCTCCACCAATATACGTACACTCCATCCCAAGGAAGCAGAGTATTGCAGCGAAGAATCCAAGAGTTAACCCGCACATCAGCAATCCCCTCACTCCCTGGACGTAAGCTGTTCCAGGATAACAAAAGGAGACATTATTTAACACAAAAAAAAACTGTTTCCAGTGTTAGATTTCTTTCAGACTAAAAAAAAAGGTGAATGCTGGTATGGAAGGAAACCATTTGAGGGTCATTTAAATATACAATTATGTTAAATATAATCAGATTTAAATACGGCTAATTGCAGCTCTGTGGTGAATCTTTGACAAGATTCTAATCATTTTTTCCCCCCGGTTTCTAAGTAAGATTTTAAATTGACAGCACTGTAATATTCGAGGCTTAGAAGATGCACTTCACAATCAAACAAAAGCACACAAAATACATCTTTGAAAATAAGAGAGTTGAAGGAAATGATCACCTTTTTGGAGCATATAGAGTACAAGTACAACATTTGGATTCTATTTGTCGCCTTTTCTGTAGATCATAAGTGGGTATTTATCAATTAATGGAGAGTATCTGAGAGTTTTTTTGTTTGTTTTTTGCATAAATAAGATCTGTATAGTTATCTAATGAGATCACATTTCCCTCACTTTGTTTGTACATCCAAATTAAAAGTGAGTCGTTGTTTTTTTTCTCAACAGCAGCCTCTGTAGTCACAAGTGACAATAATGATCTACTGTTATATATTAGGACACAGACTAAAACACCAAAAAAGAATAATAAAGCCAACTAACTGACACAATAATGTCATTTACATGGCAATATACCAATAGCAATACCCAGAGTTACCTCTTTTATTAGCAACCAAAAGCTAGTTGCCATACAAGGCCAAGTGAGACTGTTAGTCTAAATGTGGGACAGGTGTTATTAGTTAAACCTTTTCATTTCTAGGACAAAAATTGTATTATTTACTCTTTTAAATGCCACACAGTCTCAGTTAAAGCACTGGTGTGAACTTGGTGTCCCACCTACCCATAGCTGTTCAATGCTTCACCTGCTGGTCAACACAACTGCACAACTTCCATTCCAAGTGACAGCCTAACAGAGGTTATATTGTACTGTATATTATACAGCATATAAACATGATTGCAGAGGTTTGTAAAACGTACCTGTGACACTCCAGAGCACCGGGAAGTCTCTGCAGTTGGTGACAGCTGTGGAATCGGTGAAACAGTCCTTCCATAGGTTGGACCAGTACCAGGCCACCTTGATGATGAAGGAGCCTCCCTGTCCTCCCAGCTGGGTGATCCTCCAGTAGTCCATTGCCATGGTGCACAGTACAAACAGCCATCCCAGCGTTGAGATCAAGAAGCCAAACACTTGGATGAGACGTTTCTTCATTGTGAAAATCACAACGGTAAAAAATTAAAATTAAAAAAATCAGGTAGCACACACCTAACTTCCACCCGGTGGTGAGCACAACTCTACTGGATCTGTTGTTTCATGTCGAAGGGTGGAGAGGATGATGGTGCGTCTGTGCCATGTGCCTTTAGCGGCGTTGATGAGGGCTCTGGGGCACTGAATTAGATGTTTACTGTAAACTTTCTGGAGTGTGCCTCACATGTTTCACGCCTTTCCAGGTAGCTACACTTCTCACTTCCACTTGTATGCTGCAAAAAAAACCCCACTCAACACATACTTCTAGAAACAAATTCCACACAAAACACAAAAGGGAATCTGCTGCGACACTCATTTATTTTTTTATTCGTTTAAACCAGCACGAACTCTTTTAAAGAAAACGTGACTGCTCGTCGTTCGCTACGCATTTCGTTGCGTTTACATGATGTTCTTCGAGTTTGCACATTACAAAAGTAGTTAATGGTTATGTCATGTCAAACAAGATAAAATGAGCGCCTGACACAGTTTTAAATGTTGTCATTACAGATTAACAACATGCACGGGTTAAAGATACAACCAACAGAGCTGATGTCTTATACAATATATTAAAAAAAACTATTTACTACCATGTACAGCTACTAAAAAATAGAAAACAATACAACATTTGATTAGAAAGGCCCATTTTTGAACATGTTTTTTGATTTGATTTTTACATGACATGTTACATAACTGAACATTCAATATTCAAGAAAGTGTCGGCTTTATAGAAAGTACAAATCCCCCCCAAGTTAAGAGTAAACTGTATAAGAAAACCTTCAATCTATGGTCCTGGTAGAAACGTGTAAATATTTTAATAATGATTCCCGGAGAGCTATAAATCATTATCTTTAAATTCTGTTGTTAGACAGAAACCCCCCAGAAAAGTTACATACTCTGTGTGTGCTTTATCTTCTTTACTTGTTATACTGTGCATCTTTTAAAAACAGTTTTGCATTCCCTTCCCTCACACATATGCGTTCTTATCGAAGTGCTGGATCCTGGAGGAGCTGCTGTAGTCTGGAGGCGGCCTCTGGTTTACAGACTTTGCCTGCCCTCTCGGGGAGGAGATATGAGAATGTGAGGCAGCACCTTTGTAGATATAGCTCACCTGACTGTTGCTGTAAAGAGGAAGAACACAGATTCATGTAGTCAGACTCCTATATCAACAGAGGGGATTCACACAGTGGGTGAGCCTGCGATGTAAACATACAGTATGTGGTGCTCATACTGACCTTTTGGTACAAGAATCAGCAATGGAGAAGCAAAGCATGCAGCCTCCCAGAATGCAGAGAACAGAACCCGCCCAGCCGATAAAGAGAGCGGCTCCCAGCTCGTACCTGGAGACAAACAACGGTAATATTTCCAAATCTGTCGAGTCACATTAAAACATTGCGTAACTCAAGGCGTCCTCCTCACTTTTGTGCCACGAACATCGGGTCGAAAAACTCCGATGTTATCCGTTGTGCGTAGAGGGAGCACGCTGACAGCGAGCAGAGGCCTGAGCAAAACAACAAAACCTTCATTACGTGAGATCAAAGAAAACGCTGCCACACGGAAACAGTCGTTCCTTGATACTTACCGCTGAGAATGAAAGCCACGCCGGCGAAGCACGTGATCCTGGCTTTGTTCTTGTCAGTTCCTCCGATTTTGGTGCATTTCATTCCCACAAGAGCGAACACGGAACCGAAAAAACCCAGACACACAGCTGCGATCATCAGTCCTCTGCAGGCTTGGATGTAACCTGGGAACACAATCCAAAAGTCAACCTGTATGGATTGAGTTTTAAACAGGTTTCCTCGAGCTCCGCAAGGTCAGTGAGTTATTGACCTTGTGACCGGTTTACACAAAAAGCAAGAAACACAATTTGTCACGAGTAACCCTTAATAGTCTTTAGACGCTTTGTGGTAGTGAGGTGTCGGTGTTGGTTTGAAACATGTCATTGAGGTGTGAATTTAAAGCAAATATTACCTTGAAAGTTAACCCCTGCAACTAGTCAACCATGGTCAAAACTGCCTGAGGTTCCCAGTAAATCTCCTTAATAGCTTTCAAGCTCCAAGAACGAAGGCTAAACATTGACATATTTGGAGGTAAATGAGTTGTTCCTCAGAGACTTGCTTTAGGATATCTATTAGTCAAGAGTCACAATGAGCTTCAACTTGACTTTTCCAACAAAACGTATAGGAACAAAGAGTTTAACTAACTGAGACACCAGAACAGTAAGGATGAACTAACAGAAAAGCAGGTTAACAGAATAGTTTGACCCTTTTGAGATGTTACCAGACGCCCGTGAACTGGGAATTAAACACACACGCAAATCAAGTTGACCAGACTGAACAAAGGCTTTAAAAAAACAATCAAAAGACAAACGCAGTCGAAGACAGATCATCTGAGGAGAAGGGAAAAGAGCTGACCATCCAGTGCCAGCATCGAAGGAAAGTCTTTACAGTTGGAGACTCCCGTTGAATCAGTGACACAGGTCTTCCACAGATTGGACCAGTAAGTAGCTGTGGTAATGACTGTCCCATCAAGCGAAGACACCTTCCAGTAGTCCGTCGGCAAAGTGGAGGACACCAGCACCCATCCCGAGGTAGCTAAAATGAATGCCAAAATCTCCTGGATCATGCCGCTCATTCTGCCAGAGAAGACTCCTCCACACCGCCGAGGCTGGTAATTAAAGTGGTGAGACCTGAAATTGATTGATGGTTCCCCCGGCCGGTAGGACTTGTTAAAAATGTAGCTAGGCTCTGCCCGAGTAGGTTCAATGGATAGGCTGTGATTGATAGTTAATGTGTTGTGGACTGTTATATTCTGTAGGGAGGAGTTTGGGCCTAAACATCAACAAGTGACCAATGGTCTAAAATAGCGTTTTCCACCCCCCTGGCGTCGTACACGTCACTGTGACTCAGTGGCACTGATGACACCTGAAGGTTCTGGATGTAGAAAGGTGCTGTGTCATTAGAGATGTTTCAAATTAAAGCTTTGGAACTGTGCACGTGCGCAGCGTATGAGTAACTGCGTGGATTTTATGTGGACTGTGGTGAGCATCGTGTCCGGTAGTTACATAGTTCTATTAAAAAAGTAAAAGTACTGATGTCATAAAAGTATAAAAATACAGCATCTAAAAGTTTAACTGAGCTACAAGTAAACCCATTTACATAGCATTCAGTCTGAATGGTGTTAAATTATTCATGTATTCTGTTGTGAGAAGCTATTAAATTGTATTCTAATTCTCAAGAAATGTAGAATGACAACTGTACGTCTCACAAAAGTAGTATTTATTTCATAGGTGACTATTATTTCCACTGTCTCCTCGTGTCTGTTTAAATCTTATCTCTGGTTTTTATTTCTTAGTCTAGAGAGCCGACTTGAGAATAGAAAACAGACATTTGAGCGAGGATAAATATCACCTTGTGTCTGTCACCTTGCGCTGACACCTATGATTAATACACAACAGAAGTGCTGTAACTTCCTGATAGCCTTAAAATAGCAGGATTTAGATGACTTATTAACTATACGTCACTGGCTATGATGTTTTGGAGGAAAAAAAAAAAGGAGCAGCCCTTTATTTCAGAAAAATGTGCGTAGAGAGTTACGAATAAGTCGATGATGTCACTGACAAAGAGGAGCAGAGGCAATTCAAGCCAAGCAAGGAATTCATAAAGCTCTTATTATGTGAATTAGAGCCCCATCTGGTGGCTGCGCACGAGATAAAGTTTCTGTCGCCATCAGATGGAGCTAAAAAATCTCCCAGTCACTCAGTTGTTTAGATAATTATTATAGGATAGACTTTCATACAAAATGCAAATACGACTCTTCTGCAAACAGACATCAATAAATGAGCATGTAATCAAAGTGTTTGTTATTTTATGAATGTAAAAAAGTAGACACTGCTATATGCAAACATTTGACACTCATAACTTCATTTTTCCATTATTACCTAATTGAGTCACCAGACAGGACAAGAAATGTAATCAGGAGCTGTCTTCTAATGACAACTCCAGAGCTCATATCGTTCCAAACAAACTGAGTGATAAAGCTCAACAACCGAAGGCAGCTGCCCGAGGATCTCAAAGTAAAGCTAACTGATGCTGACAAAAGAGGGGAAGGCAATATCAAAGGGCTTCCAGCTCTTGATTAAGGCTGTCTAAAATCTCGTTAAGTCCAGCAGTTAAGGGAAACTGTGGAAGTCGAGACAAGATCTGTCGAACCAAGGAAACTTTCAGATAAAACTGCCTGTTTGCTGGGTAGAAATGAAAAGCAACACCTCCATGTGACTTTAAAGCAGCTGCTAAAGTAGTTTAGCTTTCACAGGAGAAGTGCAGCACCATTACAAACAGGGTAATGGAAGCATACGTGTGACCTTATCGCTAAAGCCGACACAAAAGTCAATGTAATGTATGTAAAGAAGCATGTGAATGAGCCAGAGTTCTTGGGACAAATCATGCTAAAATAAGCTTTTTGGGGGTAAAAATCGCCAAAGGAGCAGTCAAACACATTATATGACAACACAGACAACAACAAAATCATGAAATAGCACTTGTGGATTCATGTAGTAAACGATAAAGTGCTAAACAAACCAGAGTATGTTTAATATTTTAAAATCCTCAAAGTTGCCTTGACGACACCTTTGCACACTATTGGCAATAGTTTAACCAGCTCCATGAGGTCGTCATCATGAATAAGTAGAGTAGGAGAGGCCAAACCTCTGATTGAGATTGCATTTTTGTAGAATACATAGTTTATATTTTTAGATCAGTATTTAATGAAAACAGCACCTTTTCAACTGTTAAGCATGGCACTGACAATGTTTTTGCTTTAAGTCAGATTTTTTTTTGTTTTTATCTCTAAAAAATCACCAAAATACCTTCATCTAAACTTGTCCATAAAATTTTAACTGATATGACTGAATGAGTACAGGAAATTAACAGAGATTAAATGTAATAGTTTTAATGTGCATTTCATCCTCTTATTGTGATTTAACACCTTAGTGTGCTGAAGTGTTTGAAGTAAATGGAAATCAGTATAATAATAATATTGGACAATAGCAACCAAATTCCTTCATTGCTGAATAAATACTACGAATAAAGTCTCATAATTCAATTCTTTTTTTAGCTTGTTTAATTTCTGTCTTACTGGTCCATCACTGGCTTCGTGTCTTTACTTCCTGGACCCAGTAGGAACACTCTTAGTTTGACATTTTCAGCAAAACGTTACACATTTGCCCCAGTTAACACATCAACCATAATCTGTAACAGAAACGAATATTATCAAACGCTTTGATTATTTACCTATTTATTTTTTTCAGTGGACATCCACAAAGTTTAGTTGTCACAAATACGACACAAGGTGACAAGTCAGTTGTGGTTTTATCAGAAATGCACCATAATTAAAGATAATATTAGGAACACAGGACTGAGTAACTGTGTTTTTATGTATAGAAAAACATACTGATGCACACTCTTTGTATGAATAGCAAGGCGACTCTCGACAACATGACCAATCGCACCGATTTTTTAAAACAAAAGCAATCTTTTACCCACAAACTCCAAATAACCCAAACAGGCTTTACGTCCTATGAGATCACATTTCTTTGCATCGACTACATTTACCGATTTAGTCATATTTCACTGTCTAATAACCTCTGATTATTGGCTACGATTACACTGAACTAACTCTTCAAAGTTTACATTTTTGAACAGTTTAATGCCAGCACATAGTTCTGAACTCAGCGTATGAAGTGATGAATACTTTACACGGTATGATTACACATCAGGAGCATCTTGTAAAACTGTTTCCACACAATACCTTAACATAAATTTGCAATACACAAGCTGTGTTGCTATAATTTACTCAGTATTTCCCCATGACGATTGCGAACAGAAACATCATGCAGAAGAGTGCCATTATCGAGATCCTTTATGCGTCCAGCTGTGAACCAACGCCACTCTGAGCTTACCTGCTAGCTGAAAAATAGTATGATGTGGTCTGCAGTGCAAAGCTCCAATGGCATTTCCAGCACAGTTGTTCCACAGACCCTGGAGCACCCAGGTTGCTGTGATGACTGAGGATGCCCGGCTGGTGGCCCTCCACTCATTGGACACTGTGGCACCGAGAGTGGCTCCCAGCCCAGCCAGGCCACTGAGAAAAGCCACAATCTGCAAGCCTGACATTTGGTGGTTTAAGATATGTTTACACTCTTTTGCTAAAATCTGGAGAGAAGAAATAAAATCTCCTCAGGCTAGCAAATTACACTGTGGACATGTGTTTCACTGAGATGATTAACAGACGGGACATCTTGCATGCGTATCTGGTGGCGAGGGATGGACACAGGTGTCCGAGAGTGAAATAGTAAAGGAAGCGATGAGCTGGCGGTTAGATATTACGTTTTGAAAGGGAGTATGGGAAATGCTCCTTTCGTGCTTTCGTGTTTTGTTCTAAAAATAATGTCAGGTATCATATTAACATAAAAAATAATAAAGAAGTAATAAGTAATCCCAAAAATGGGAGACAATGTGACAAAGTCCACTTACTGGCTCATCTATTTCTGCACACGACTGAATGACTAATGATTACCAGCTCATATGTGAGCATGTATGTTGTTTATCAAGAAGAGGGTACGTTTTCATCAACAAAAAAGAAAACAAAATGAAGAGCAAAGTGACTTTTAGTACTTATTGATTCTGATCAGCCGACTGATTTGAGTTTAAAACCATCAAATCATCAAAAAATCTTGCAGGTAAACATACTAAACAGAAATAATAATGATGGTGACATTATGACTCCATGCCAGCAATAAACTACTCTTTCAGCAACTGTTCAGTCATATTTATGAACAATTCAGATTAAGTTTTTGCTTTGTAACAGCAGTAAGTTTCGTCTTTTTGATGTCCCTTAGTTAGCTTCCCTACTTTTAATCATTACAGAAACTAACCCTCTCAGAAAGAACAACCAAACAGGGACTGCTGACCTTTCTGTATTCTTGTTTAAATTCCTTTTTTAAACCTCAGAACAGAAACAAACACAAAGAGCTACTAAAAACCAATCATTCTCAATATATTGTGTGTGGAAAATGTGTTGTGGCTGAAGTCTAAGCTAGAATGTAGTTTTAAAAAATGTATTGTTTTCTTCCTATTAAAACAGGGGAAGTAGGTTGTCTGTAGTTTTCAAACATAATTTAGACAAAGGAAAGTCACTCACATGCAGACATTTTAAACGGGGCTCCTTCACTGTCTTTTAGGTTGTACTATATTTGATAGAATAAAAACCCAGTTTTTCTGTCGGGTTGGGGAATGAACTCACCTGTAGATGTCACTATCTTCTCTCTTGTACATCACTCCTTCCCCTGTGACCTGAATTCAGTTGAATATTAACATGCGTCCACATAAAGGTGACATTACCTGAATAGATTAAGCCCCAAGGAACCACTTTCATGACAGAATTAGATGGGACAATCAAATCCAAATGGGGCAATCTTAATTTTGCATATTGTGGACAACACAAAATGAAGCCTGTACTGTTACCAGCATTACAGATATGAGTTTGCTGCATTGTCAGTTTGGCAAGAGCTTTTTTCCCCTATAGTCTCACAAGTTAAAGTTTTGGTGTCAGGACTGTAAAAAACTAAAAATATACATCTATTTTTACGCAAAACATATTTCTACAAGATAATACAAATTGAGGGGACACAATCATCAATAAATCATGTCATTTATTCTGCAGCAGCAGCACAGGAATGTAAGGCAATGAGGTAATGGTTCACTGATTCTCATTTTCTGTCACTTTTTATACAGTTCTATACAGCACACTGCAAAAACACTCTTATGAGGCATTTATGTGACGAAGTGTGTATGTGAAGAAGAATAAATGTATTTTTATCTCTTGATTGTTGTTATTATTTATTATTATATACCAACAGAGTTATGTCCCCCCCAAAAAAAAACAAAAAAACAAAACAATGTGATGAAATAAGTTCTTTCAACTTCCTACTCAAGTTAAAGTACATAGTGAAAAACAAAGAAGAGCATGAAATACAAGTACTGCTTCTGCACTGCTGTGACTCATAATTAAATGTGTATTTGATGTTATCACATGTTACTGATAAATCATGATTTAACAGTGTTTTATGGTTGGGGATGCTCGAGGTGGAGCTCCTTTAAACTGCATTAAGTTTAATCTTGTTGTCCCCAAAACTAGGAGTTGACCTCTTTAAAAGGTCACAAGATAACTCTGAGGGGTGATGAATAAAGGGAGGGGGGGGATAAAGTAAAAGAAAAAGGCCTGCTACACAAATATAATTCAATTTAAATGAAAAATTAAAATAAATAATGTTTGTCATGGTCCTAAGTTTGGTTCAGTTATTATTTTTTTTATTTTGCAATGATCTTTGTCCTTGTGTGTTCCTTATTTTGCTTGTCTCCCTCTTTTGATTGTCTTTTCTAAGTTCGCCCTGTTAGCAGTGGCTGTAGGGGCGGCTGTGGCTCAGGTGGTAGAGGTGTGTTGTCCTCCAATTGCGAGGTTGGTGGTTCGATCCCTGGCTCCTCCACAGTCGAAGTGTCCTTGGGCAAAACACTGAACCCCAAGTTGCTCCCAATGGCAGGCAGCACCTTGCATGGTAGCTCCGTCGCCATTGGTGTATGAATGGGTGAATGAGATTTGAAACACATTGTAAAGCGCTTTGGATAAAAGCGCTATATAAGTGCAGACCAGACCAGCAGCTCTCCTGTTTCTACTTCTGCCTGATTCCCTCTTGTCTGCATCTGCTTTGTGATTTTAGTTTTGTACCTTGTCCGTTAACCTTGTGTTTGGCTGCCTGGTTTTCATACATTCCTCACAC